CCAAGCAGGGACAGGAGGATCCCATGAGACAGCCACGGAGACTCTCCAATCCCTAAACTCCTTCTGGCATTCTTTTGTTTAACTTTATTCACAGGAAGTGGGTGGGGGCAACTTATGCAGCCCAAACATACACAAAAGCGGCTAAAACGGCTGTCGGGCGGAAGCCTAAGGCGATGGCCAGGCTCATCTTCCATTTCTGGGAGCCCACCAGCGACCTAGACACTGAGTGTGCTTGAACTCTAGAGGAAAGAAATGCGCCTTTTCAGTATTTGCCTTAAAAGGCTGTCCTCCCAGGACCAGCAAGCTCTGCCCGAAGGCTGCATGTGCCGTACTGATTCGCAGGCATTCTCCGCTCCACTGTGTGACACAGTGACCGGCTCATCCCCTGGTCACCGTGCCCGTCTGTAAGGGGGTCATCACACCTCCTGTGCCATAAGATGGAGGGAGGCGGGGAGAGGAGAGAGGGGGACAGAGAAACTCCCTCACCACCAGCCGGGGCCAGGCCTTGTCTCCCCTCACATGGGCCCTGGGGTCATTATCTCCATTCCTTCCGACGGCAACCGAGGCTCAGGGGAGCTAGCTTCCTTCCAGGGCTTATCTGGGGTCAGGCCTGGGCTAACCAAGTTCCAGCGGGGGAGGGGGAGGGGGGAGAGGCAAGGCCGTGGACACAGCAGGGGGTGAAGGCCTGGATGGGGGGGCAGCTGGAAGGGGGTCAGTGGGGGAAGGAAGGGACACATGTAATACTTTCAACAATAAAGATTTAATTAAACAACAAAACAGAAAGGTAACCCAGTTAGATACAATGCCATCCAGACGCTGGCAGAAGCCTGGTCACTGAGCTGGGCCTGCAGGCTGCTTCCTGCTTCCCTCTGCCTGAAGCAGAACACTGGCGCTGCGCCAAGATTCTTAGGACTGGGGGCTCAGCGGACAGTGTCCCCTGAGGACTGAAGGGTCCCGGGTTCGATCCCAGTCACAGGCACATGCTCAGGTTGGGGGCTCAATCCCCAGTGTGGGCCATGCAGGAGGCAGCCGATCAGTGATTCTCATCCTTGTGGTTTCTAGCTCTCTCTCCCTCTCCCTTCCTCTCTGAAATCAATAAAATATAGTTAAAAGAATGGCCATCCACCCTCGCTGGGGCCTCATGTCCCCGGGGTCACTGTGTGAGCCAATCGCAGGAAGAAATGGCGCCTCTGATTCAGAAGAGATTGCGGCCACTCACAGTCCCCGCCACACAGAGGCAGAACGAGGCCATCGTGCCCCATTGGGATGGAAGAGGCCGGGGAAGTGGCTCTGGTTTCAGGTTTAAAAGGAGAGAGTCCTTGACCAGCTGCCTCCCTGGGGACAGGAGGCCGGGCCGGGCTGCGCTGGGCATGCAGGCACTGGGTTACCAGGCGGGAGGACCGCTCCTGCCCAGGAGGAGCCGCTGGGCATCCACATGCTGGGCCAGGCCTGCCGACCCTCCGCCTCCCTCGTCTTTGCCCCAGCTCACCCCTCCTCCGTCCTCGGCCTGGCAGCCTCCTGAACCGGGGTCAGGCATGGCTTCCTGTCCCTGAAGAGCAAAGAAAGGGAAGGGAAGGAGGAGCCAGACAAGGCGTTAAGAAAGTTGGAGATGTTAGGTGGAGGCAGGGGGAAGCCCAGAGCCCATGCATCTGCAGGGTGGATGGTGACAGAGATAGCTGGCACCTTCCTAGCCTCCTGGCCCGAGGCAGAATTCCACGCCTCTCATGCCCTCTGCCCTCCCCTCCCTAAACAGCTGTATGGAAGAAGTACCTATGCCGCCTTTTGGCGCGAACTGCCCTGGCCCACCCTCAGACCAGCCAGCTTCGCCCAGGAGCGCAGATTAAAACCTCCCCCTCTTTAATTGCCTGGACTCTGTGTCTTGCTTCTGTATCGCAAACCTCTCAGGAACGCGAGTTTTTCTTTTTCCTCAAAGACTCAGTGTTGTCACAAAACCAACGCCAGCATCACGTCCTTGTGCACGTGGGGCCTTTGAGCTCACAACTCCGCTCCTTCCGCTGGGGCTGAGAGGCGCTGGGAGCGGGCGCCAGGTTCCTTGTGGAGGCGGTGCTGCCCTGCGGGCCCGAGGCTCCGCGACACGTGAGCAGGAGGCCACGGCTTCCCCACAACCAACGTCCTAGCGACACGTCCCGGATGCCAGGACCCGAGTGCAGCTGGATGTGCTCCTGGTGCTCCCTCTGGCACCCACACAGTGCTCCTGGCTGTGTACCTCTTGTGGAGGCAGCTCCATGCACCCTGAGCACTGGGCGCCGCTGTCTCTGTTTTAGATGTGCCATGGTTTGGGCACAGCCATTAAGACTTCCCATATGCATTCCGTCCGTTACTTTCAGGACAGTGGAATTTCCTACAAACACACAGTATAACAGGTACGTAGGGGATAGGCCAGTAAGATCCAGCAGTGCACCGCGGCCCGCTCCCAGGCAGAGGAGAAGACCTGGGGATGTGTGGGAATCCTCCCTCCCCTGCTGCTCATTGAACTCAACTAGGTCAGCGGAAAACTCAGCTGGCGCCGGCCAGCCTGACAGCTCTCTCCCCGTCTGGTGCTCGTGTTCCCACACGCTCACTCCCGAGCCACCATCCACAGCTAATGGCCCATCTGTCCATGGCCTGTCCAGCCTCAGAGGTGTTCCCTGAGCTGCAGGCAGAGGATCCCAGTGTCCCATGGGCTGGCACGGCTGGCTGGGCTCTGCGGGGAAAGCCGCCTGGGGAGGGAGGCAGCACCGCTCACCTGTGGCGGGTGCACGGCCCAGACCTGGGAAGCCCGCTGCCACGCACGCCGCGGACCTGTGCAAGGTCGAGTGGATGAATTCTTAACCATCTCAGCTCATGTCCCTCAGCTAACACCTCAGGGTGGTGTTAAGAGTTTTACCTGGGGTACCCCTTTAAATCCTCAAAGCAACCCTAACAAGCAGGAACCCTACTTATCTCCAGTAAGCGATGAGGGAATTGAAGCGGGGGCTCACATGCCTGGCCTATCCTCTCACCAGAGGGACAGCAGCACCTGTTGCTCACACGGCTCTCTGCCGGCCTGGAGCGAACTCTGCCTCACCCTCCCTGCGCCGCCGGGAGAGGCCACTGTGACCCTGGGCGAGGACCTGCCTTGGTCGGAGAGAACACATCTGATTTGGAGGGTCTGCGTGAGAAGAGCTACTCCTGAGCACTTCCCAGGAGCCAGCCTCACTGAGGGGTGTCCCAGGTCACACAGCTGGGAGATTCCCTCAGCAGGACCTAATGACTCCGTTTCCCGCTCTAAACGTCTTTATTCCCACCACTCTCCTTGTTATGTGTGTCTGAGACCTTGCCTATTAATGTCTGTTGATAACATCGAGATACTTTTCCTCCAAACTGACACAGCGAATAACAATGAGCTCTGCAGAGTGGTCAGCAATAAGACAAGAATGTCAGCCTGACACAGATTCGTCTTCCTTTCAGAAAAATGAAAGTGAGAGCCGGGAGGAGGGCCGGCAGGTGGGAGCATGGCCGGCTCCACAGCCCACGGGGAGGAGCTGTACGGGTTCCTTGGCCAGCACAGGATTAAGAACACCCCTTGGATGCATGGCGCAGGAGGCAGTGCAACAGGAAGAGGCTGGATTTGCTTTCTGGTTGCATAAATGCTTTCTAGAAGCGAAAGCAAATGGGGATAACGCTTATTGTCATCCTCTGGCAGTTTTGGTTGCCGTAAATAGAAAGACTCCCCGGGATGGCCGGGATATACATAGTCTGGGGCATCACCCAGAGAGGAGACGGGTCCTCGGGGTGGGGGGAGCGAGGACGGGCCTGGGGGTGGCTCACAGCTGTTCGGCAGTGCCCATCTGCCGGGCTAATCCTGGAGACCTGCGTGTGGCACCGGGCCCTCGTGCTGCTCTGTCGTAGCTGATGCTTACTGGTGCTGCCGAGTGTGCGGCCTGCTGGGACCGGCTCGCTCCTGGGAATGGGAGGCGAGTAGCTCGTATTATCCCTCACGTGGCAGAGAAGCAGGGGATTTAAGGAGATTAGAGCTCGCCCCAGTTCCTGCACCCCGAGTCCCCCTCCTGCTGGTGCCCAGGCTTGTCCCGGCCCTCCCATCCTTTCAGTGAGGTGTGAGTACTTGCTTGTTCTGTGCAAAGCATGCCCGTTTTCAGCAGACAGCGGTGAGGAATGAAACGCTGGATAATAAAAAGTAATTCCTATCAGCCTTCTAAAAACAGATAAAACATGTTACCCCTTGTAAGTGTACAGTTCCTGATATTAATCACGTCCCACTGCCGGGCAACCACCCCTGCACCTGCTGTGGAGCATGTTCCTCCTGTGCACTCGCTGCTCTGGCGGCCCGGTGGGGGCAGATCAGTGCTGGAGGAGAGGCCAGGCTGGGTGACCCCGCAGGAAGATCAGCCTTCTGACCCAGCGTGCGGGGGGGAGGGGGATTGGGGTGTGTGTGAGAGGAAGACGTCCTGTCCCACCATTTTCGGAACCAAACGTGGTGGTGAGGGGAGCAGGGACTCATGACCTGGCCAGAAGAGGCAGCTGTCCTGTGGGGGGCTCTCCCTGTGTGACAGGGCCCCTCATACCGGGGGCCCCTGACCCCAGGCTGTGACAGGAGTGGGCGGGACCTGGCCCCGGGAGGCGATGGCGGAGTACATTCCACTACCGTCCCACAAAGACCAGATGAGACGTCGGCACAAGCAGATCGGACCCAGGCACCAGCCTCTAGCCAGATTCCCTCACAGAGGCCACCCCAGCTGCCAGCAAGTCCAGGCCCGCTCCCGTCACCCAGGCACCCGCTGTGGCCGGCGGGGGGCAGAGGCTTGGGAGACACTGCCGGCATGGCATATGAGCAGCCATTCCTCCACCTGGCAGCTGGAATTCTGGCTGCCCCCCTCTCCCCGGCACAAACGGCACCGACCTTCGGGCTCCTTCCATCCCGCGTGAGCCAACACAGCCACCCACCATGAACCGATGGAATTATAGCCACGTCCACTCCTCCCGCACAAAACACAGCGCCCCAAAGAGACACCGGGTTTAATAGAGGATGTACCCAAAATACAGCATTGTGGACAGAGGACATGCTTCTGGGGGGAATGTACTGTCACGGCCGCAGTGAGACCAGTGGTTACAGATTCTGCCTCCTGGACACCGTGCTCAGCAGTCACAGGCATGCTGACTTTGCTATAAATATATACGGACTTTAAATCTCTTTTGTATAACATCTTGGAGTCAGAACATTGGTCCCGCCCGGGTCACTCATACAGAACCCTGAGCTTTTTACCTGATTCCCATCACGGCTCAGCGCACCCATGCAGGTCAGAGCCCTCCTTCCTGTCTGTTCCCCACCTCCCCCCCATGTGAGGCCATGGCCGCGGCCACGCGCTGTGACAGGCAGGTCCTCTCCGGTCCCTTTAATGGCTTCTTACAGGAAGGCACCGCCCAGCAGAGCACTGCCCAGTGTCCTCCCAGGGGAATAGCAAGCGCAGGGGTTTGGGGGAAGGAGGCAGTGGGGAGCCCAGCAGTCGGGGATCTCGGACCGGGGACCAGCTCCTCTTCGCCGCGGGGCCTCGGACCGGGGACCGGCTCACTGGAAGGACGCCCGGACCCGGCGGCCCTGCAGGGGCTGCGGCGGGCGCCAGTTGTCCACCATGGGCTCCTCCGCCTCCCCCTCCTTGTTGAAGCGAAGCCTGCGGAACGCCGTGATCTAAAGGGCACAGAGGAGATTACAAATGAGAAGGAAGCGCTTCATGGCGGTGCTGAGGTATGTGCAGGGTCACATCTGAACTGGGCTCCTCATGTTCACAGCAGCCTGTGTCCACGTTCCCCCCCCCCCCCCCCCATGGGACCCCAGGAGAACCACAGCAGGCACACGCCTGCGTGCACAGACGGAGTCGGTGACACGCTGGGAGTTGCTGCTGCTGCTAGGGGGCGGCGGGGGGGAACACACATTTTTTTCTGTCCTTTCTGTGTTCCTTCCGACTCCAAACTGCTGAGGTGTAACAGCAACAGTCCTCAACGAAAATTAGGTTCTGCTTCTGCCTGGGGCGAGAAAGCCACAGCTCCTGTGCGGTTAGGGGGGTCCTGGGTCGGCCAGCCAGAGCCGAAGGCAGGCTGGTGTCTCTGCTTAAAGGCGCAGGACACCCAAGGACTGTGCCGAGCGGGAGCCCAGTCCTCGTCTGGTGGGTCTTCGTATTTTTATTTTATTTATTTATCTTGGTTAATCCTCACCCGAGGATATTTTCCCATTGATTTTTAGGGAGAGTAACAGAGAGAGGGAGAGACAGAGAACATCAATATGAGAGAAACACATCGACTGGTTGCCTCCTGCATGAGCCCTGACCAGGGAGGAGCCTGCAGCTTGCTCTTGACCAGAATCAAACCCGAAACCTTTTGGTTCACAGGCTGATGCTCTATCCACTTGACCAAACTGGCTAGGGTGAATCTTTTATTTTTTAAGCAGGAAGAGAGAGAAACACCAGTAACTAGAGAGAATCATCGATTGGCTGCCTCCTGCACACCCCACACTGGGGATTGAGACTTGATCTGAACGAATGAAGGAGGTCAGTGGCCACCAGTCCACAGCCTGAGCTCTCTGGCTCAGTAACAGTCCCACAGTCACCCCACAGGGTCAACTGGATTGAAGTGGATGGCCATGACCTGTCCCTGCCCCACCCTGGCCCTATTCCCTGTCCCTGCCCCTCTGGGACTGCAGGCATTAAGCAACAGCCCACACAGACCACACTGCGAGGTCTGTCTGGGCCTAGGCCGCACTGGCCACATGGACTGAGTCTAGTGGTTTCTACAGGTGGCTGAGGAGCATCCTGACCCGTGTGACCTTGGACATGACATGTCACTCGCAGGTGTGACTTCCTCAGCGTTCACAGAAACAGCACCCATTTGGGGATAGGCACCTTGCCCACCGCACCCTCCGTCTGCCCACGTGGACAGTCTAAGGCATGGTCAATAAGGAGCAATGCTTATCGCCTGTTACTGCTCAGCTCTGCGCGCTGCTCTGGGGCCGGAGCACCCAGAGGAGGACACCAGGCCGGTGACTCCACCGCGCCCCCCGCCCCACCCCGCCGCCGTGGGAGCCCACCTGCTCGCTGCTCACGCTGATGGGCTCGCGCAGCACGATCCAGGTCACGCACTCCAGCAGCGGTGGCGTGGTCAGCGAGCCGGGGTAGGTCCAGTAGTCCAGGCTCCCGGGCAGCAGCCCGCGCGGGTCGAAGCCGGTGAAGGCGGCGCTCTGGCCCTGGCACAGGCGACACTCCGGTTAGACCCCCATGGCAGCCCCAGCGCTGTTTTTAACAAGAGGCGCGCGCCCCAGAGAACGGAATAAAGGCCCCTGACATAGACGTCTGCCCCAAACAGTCCTGAGCAGGAGAGCCTGACGCCTCTCAGTCCGGCGCCCTCACAAAGACCAGACCATTGTTCGTGGCCCGTCACAGCTCCCTCTGCAGCGCATGCCCTCGGTCCGCTCCCTGGTGTGGACACCGGGCCGCCCGCCCTGGCTGCCGGATAACGCTGCCTTCCGGCCTGCTCCCAGGACGAGCCCTGACGCGCACAGGGACGCGCGGATGGGGACGCAAGATTACCCAGACACTGACTGGGAGGGGCATGAGGCCCACCTTTTGGATTAAAAGTTAAATAAATATGTAAGCAACATTTTACCTCTGTTGACTGTTTTCCAAACACTTCTTGTCAAGCCAACACTATTCGTTTGCACAGAAGCATTTCCCCAGGCCCATGGGGGCGGACACGCACGTACCTTCATTGTAATGGAGGCCAGCGCGTCGATGACCTTCTGGAGGCCCGGCTTCGCATCGCCGATCTGGAGAGAGACACAGGACAAGACGCTAGGTGACAGGTGGCACCACGCCCGCTGGATCTGGGCGGTTCTATCATAAAGTTTCCCTAAAGCGTAAACCCAAAGCCCACACTCACTACCTGATTCCACCAGACCTCCCCTGGAACCCCCGAGGCCCTGGCAGCCTGAGGCGAGCTCCAGTCCCCTCAAGGGCAACAGCACTCCGCACCTTCTCACAGGCCTTCGTCACCTGTCCGCCTCACTTTTAACACTCTCCTGGCTCTCCTGCCCTCCTGCCTCCCCACCCCCTCGGCCCCGTGTCCTCTCATCATGTGACCAGCGTCTGTCCACGCCTCTCCTGCTCCCCATGGATGGTTTCACAGACCCGAGGCTCCCACCTTGACAGACCAGCCCAGGGACTCGGCTGGCTTTACAGCTGTCTGGATGTGGCCTGAAATTCCCCAAATGGAGCCCTGTGCTTCAGCCCTCAGATGCCCTTCCTTTAGCATTTGGGGGTCCTGATGAGGCCCGGTGTGCCTCTGTGGGGTGCAGACTGTATGGAGCTAAAGTCAACGCTAGCCAACTTCTACCCCTCTTCCCTATTACCCCTCCTCCCTGCTACCCCTCCTCTTTACCCCTCCTCCCCACTGTAACTGCTTAGAAGAATGTGCTGAGAGGCTGTGTTCAGAAGAGGCGATCAGAGATAACTTCTGTCAGAGCCGCAGGGCAGGGAGAACTACTGGCTAAAGGGCTGCTCCTATCCACCGGCTGCCCCAGGCTCACTCCAGCCCCAGCCCGATGCCTCCTAGCCAGGTCCCCTCTCCTGCACCAGGTCTCCAGCTCCTCTATCTGCAGGCCCCCCCCCCCCCCCCCCCCCCCCCCCCCCCCCCCCCCCGCACAGACGCCTGACTCCACGGGGGGATTTTCTCCTGCCTCCTGTCTGTTGGGCTGCTGGGCCGGCCCTGAGAGCCTAGAGGGCAGAGGAGAGCCTGGCCCCCCACAGCTGTCTGTCACAGGAGAGCTCCATGTGGCTCGAGGTGAGGAACGAGGACCGAGTAGATGTGGAGTGCACCCCTGGCTCCCTGCACCTCTCACAGGGCACCTCACACCCGCCTGAAACAGCACCAGCCCCTCAGTCCTGCGTGTCCCCTCTCCACCCAGGCTCTCGGAGAATGTCCTGTCGCTAGAAGTCTGGCTCACCTTTCCTGAAAACGGGGAGGATCTGGGCTGTCCACTCACCTTCAGAAACACGCCCAGCACGGCCAGCCCGTCCGGCTGTTTGACGGCCGACCCGAAGTCCTTGTACTTGGTGTTCCAGTGGACCAGGTGCAGCTGCGGAGACAGGGCACAGTGAGGATGGGCGGACGGGGCCCAGACCCCCCCCCCCCACACACACACACACACATAGTGACCTCTGGGCATTTTAAACCCAAACCTTTCCTTCTTTTAATTTTGTGTAGACTGTTGGCATACTAGCAAGTGATTTCATCAGCAGCAAGCACTGCCTATTCTGCGGGAAGACACAAACTGTTTCTAGGTTTGTGTGAGAACAGGGTCCTCCCACTGGAACTCACTCACTCAGCCACGCTGTCCTCAGAGAAGGATAAGCTAGCGTGAAGGTCTTTTGTTTAGAAAGTGGTTCCCCCTGGTTAGGCTGCATTTACAAAGGGAAGCATTGGAAATCAATGCTAATAACACTATTGCCCCAGCGGAAGGCAAGCTCGGTCACCTCTGCAGCGTATTTTTGCTGGTCCACTCTGTGCTCCGAGCCCTGCCCGTCGGATGAGCCCCAGTGGAAGTGGAACTGGACCAGTCGGTAGGTGTCGGCGAGGGGTCCTCCCTTCAGCACTGAAATGTAGAAACACACGTGTGTACACATGCATACTCGCACACGTGCTGTGAAAGGCACGCTATAAATGCTGCATCTACATCCCATTACATAGGACTGCGTGTGTGCCACAGCACCTTCACTCGGAAAATCCAGTCCGGGCTCAGGCTGGGCCCGCAGTGCGCACAGGCACGAGGTAGCTGTTCGCACGCGTGCTGCCTGAAGGACGACCTTCCCATCTGTCTTCTGAGCACAGTGGCACTTCTCTTCTGGGTGTGCTTTGGGGTCACAGGGTCAGGGCAGAGAGGAGAGATATTCAGGAAGCCATTGACTCGTCTGTGAGTCTCGAAGGGAGTTCGTTCCAGGCGCTTCTGGCCAGCGCAGGCTCCGGCACATTCCCACAAAGGTGGCAACCTCTGCCTGGGGCTGTCCTGAGTGACTCAGCTAACCTGTCAGAACAGTCCTACAAGCCAGAATTTCTGAAATATCAGCATTCTTCATCTCACTGCTATAAAATCCTATTTTCCTCACACCGGCTTTCCAAATTCTTCAGTAGCAGTGACCATCCAAATCCAAAAGCTGCTGACTAGCTTCATCCCTTTAAAATTTTTATTTAACTTTTCTGACCTTAACTTCTTTACCTGTAAAATGGGTACATCCAATCGTTTACTCCACTAGGTATTGATCACATACTATATACAGTACTAACTCCAAGAACTTCAAATTCTAACTTGAATAACTATCTCACGATTCTCTGTTCTGGTATTAATTACAGAAAAAATCAGGCCTAGAAATCACGGTGTTACACCACAATGTTTCTGTAACTAGTTGTGTCTTAAGAGAGGATTAAAATAGTGAGAGGTCACTGCTTCCGCATCCTCTCCAAAAACTTTCTACCTGACTTATGTGTATTACTGGGATTTAACCAGGATATTTTAAAGCTTTTAAAATTAGTTTAGTTCTACTACTTCAACTTTACTTTTTCCAGAGCTGGGATTATCATCTGTTCCCATAAGTATACTTTGTTAGTTTGGGTTTATAATTCATGAAAGAAGGAGCCCACACTGGGCTTCCAAACCAAAGGAACCAGGTCTGGACAGATAGCATTTGCTGCTTCCCTTCAGCTCAGTGCGCAGGCGCAGCACACTCATCTGCGAGAGGGGGGAGGAGCGGGAGGTCCGGGTGGAGGCCTTTCTTGGCTCTTGCGGGGCCTCTCTCTCCCCGGGCAGGAGAGAGAAAGAAGGAAAACTCCCAGAAATCATAGGTAGTGCTATGTCACAGAGATGCTAAGAAACACGGATTTGCATGTGTTCTGACAAAAATCACATCTTTTGAAACTTAATAACAATTCATTGTAAGAGCTTTTTTTAACCTCATAAGTCGATGAGAAAAGAATTAGCCTTTAGGCTTTTTCGAAAACAAGATAATTCCTATTTTTCATAATTATATAATCTTAAAACAAAATATGTGTTTATGAAATAAGTTGATGTTGGAATTAATTCCTTTATCACTTTTTAAAGCTACTAACTAACTGGCTGGTTGACCATAAAAACCATTTGTAACATCATTAATGCTCCCAAGTGGGAAAATGAGTTAAGTAAAACTGGGCTGGCCGATCTGCCTCTGGGTGAAGAACCTTGTCAGAATCTTAAACGAGTTCCTCTCACTCGCTGGCAGATGTTAAGGCTCCATCCTCATTCTTACAGAGAGCATTTAGAATCAGGCAAGAGCACAAATGAGCATTTACTAAGTAGGACTTCCTAATCCTGAAAAGGAAAAGTGAGCGAAGCTCTGGGCTCAATGATTAAACACATTCCGTGCTGATTTGTTATTACCGGATACCTGTTCCCACTCCTATTAAAGTAAAACTACGTTGCTACGTAAACTGTAAGCCTGTTGTAATTTTAAAGATTATTATAGTTAATGTTTACGTGCTATGAAAAGCAGCATTTCTGGCTTTCTTCAATCAGTTGGTTATTTCTCACAAATCCTTGACGAGAAGTGAGTCAGTGAAGGCCTTCAGAGCATTCTCCTACTGATAACTCGCCAGGAGCCGTGACAGGCAGCACCCGTCTTTTTAACTGGGAACCAGCAAAGAGGCCTGTGCTGGGAGGTGGGAGGCGGGTGCCTCTGGGTCTGTTTGCTTCCTTGCTTTAAGCTGGCTCTCAGGTCACCGCCTGAACTTCCCCATTAAAGTGAAACCTGCTTTTCTGCTGCAAAAATAAGGGTTAAAATTAGCAGAAGTTGTTTCTGTAAAAGGCAACGAGGCCATGGGGCGGACGAGGCATGGCCTCTGCCTGGTGGAAGCGTGTCCACGAGGAAGGACAGACTCCCCCCTGCTCCCACCCAACTGAAGCCCTGATCCCCCTCCCCCCACCCCGCCCCCACCCGGGCGCTGTAGCCTCTCACTGGGTGACTGCCTCGGGGGTCACAGCACAGCTAAACACACAAACTGCAAAGTATAGTCTAGAGCAGTGTTTCCCAAAGTGCGGTATGCGTATCCCCAGGGGCACGGGAAGAGTTTGGTGGGGGTACGCGTTGCACTGGAGTTTGGTGGGGATATGCACTGCACCATGCTTAGCTGCACCTAATTCTACGTTCTCATGAGTACAAGGGGTACTCAGCGTTACGAAAATTACAGAAGGGGTACACATATGTCAAGTTTGGAAAACACTGGTCTAGATGAATCTGACTTCCTGTACAGATTATGTGGAAAAATTGTCTAATATAGGTTGTTTGTAAAACTAAGACAGTCGCGCCAGTCATACTGAGGTAAATCAGTCCACCCATACACATTAAAAACTGACATTTTAATGCTTTTGAATTTTTTCTTCCAAATCACATGAGCACTTAATATAAAATGCATCCAAATAACAAGGACCTCAGTGAAAGTCAATAATCTCTTTTAGATCCAAAATACAAATAAACTAACCAATGGCCTTTGGTTTAAACTTAAAATTTAAGGAGTTTTCTATTAACAATGTGAGGAAATAAATCCCCTAACACAGCATTTCCAACAGGTGGGCCACGTTCTCCGTGAATAATCAGAAAACACCAAACTGCACCCTGTGGCCTCCCCGGAGGCGGCGGCCAGGCCTCCCCACGAGAGGAGGTGGACGTCCGGCCCAGGGCGAGGAGGACGGCCCGCCTGCTGCCTGAGGAGCGGAATATTCCGGCAGGCTGCCCTCGCTCAGGTGGCACACACACGGAAACGTGAGAGGACAGTTTGTGAGCCGGCGGATGGCAGCTGTCCTCGCATAAAGAGGAGACTCCGGTGTGCACACACACAGGCTGGCAGTGCTGGACAGGAGCTGCACGGGGGAGGAGTTCACTTCTGTCACCCACTCCGGACACGGCATGAGTGCTACTGAAGGCAGTCCGTGACTCTCTGCGAGATGGACTGCGGACTCTAACGCAGACACGCAGACACACACACATATACACACACACGGCTATAAACGTGATCTGTGCGGTGTGCTGCCGTTTGTGGGGTTGGGTTAGGGCCGGGCTTTGCAGGACAAGCCCTCCCATTGGCGGTGCTGCTTCCTTTCGGTCTAAGACTCCGTGGAAGGAAGGTTAGCAGCGCCCACAGTGAGTTCCTGAAAAGCAGGTGGGCCCAGAACGTGCCCAGAGCGGGTCTGCGCCCGGGCCAGCACAGCCGCTGCCTTCCTCCTCCTTTTTGAATTAATATAAACAGACACAAACGTTCCAACTCCTCAGAAACCCACAGCACAGAAACACTGAGAGCTGGGTATGGAATACCCCAATAACCCAGACATTGTTTCTTGACGATATTTGCCTCTAACTTTGCAATAAAGCAGGAGAGTTTTAAACTCAGTAATGAAAGTTAATAAGTTAGCAGGAATTAGGAATTTTGACTGCTGTTCTTTTCTCTCAAAATAAATCTAGTAATAAAAGATCTCAAGCAGGGGGAGTTATTTTTTAATAATTAAAAAACTCTAACAAGATTAACGGTTTTTTATTAGCTTAAGATGGTTTGTTTTTAGGGGAATTTAGAAGATTGATGAGGGCTTTAAGCCAAGCTTCTGGCCACAGCCATTACCTCCAGGTCAGAAAGAATTCCTGGCCTTAAACAGCGATAAACCCTGCGGCCCAGCTCCTCACGCCCATGCACTCCAGTTGGAGATAAGATGGCATTTAGGATATGTCTGAAAATCTGAACTCCCTTACTGAGGGAGGGAAAAGGAGATACATTTAAGGGTTTAAAGTATAAATTAAGTGGCAAAGGACATAAAAAATGTAAACACCATAATAGTAACACCTAACAAAAAGAGATGTTAAACTGTCAACTTAGAGTGCAGGAAACTGGCCAACCTTGATGGCTCTGAATGGTCGGAGCTATTAACTCATTGACTCTAGGTTGAGTCACAGGTGGTAAAATGTAAAAAGAGCTGGCTAACTGAAACCAAACATTGTCCCTGGCAGTAAAATGTAAAAAGAGCTGGCCAACCTTGATGGCTCTGAATGGTCGGAGCTATTAACTCATCCTCTAGTTGAGATAGTGGTAGTTGAGGCAACTTTAATTTGTTAATCATGTGTAAATTCTTGATTTTCTGTTGTTGGAATTTCCTGCCTCAGAGATGTCTTTGTCTCAGAATCTCAATAAAAGGAATGGTAAAAGACCAGAGCAGGGGGTAGTCCTCCCCCCCCCCCCCCCGCCCCCCCCCAGGGGTGGACTCCCGCCTGGCTCCCATTTTCCCAAATTAACTCTTTTCCAGTCTTTCTTCATTTTAATGTGCAGCCTTCTCCAGAAACCGGACCCTGAGTGGGCCCTGAACCACGCGGGTCGCGTTAAGGGATCCCACATTAAAGAACTTGGGTGACCTGAAGGATAAATTATCCTGAGACCTCCCTCCATGGGCAGAAAGGCGGGATGTGCTGGAAATGGGGCGCTGTGTGACAGGTTATCTTTTGAGGATTCTGTTCCCTCCTTTTCTGAGGTCCCCAGGCAGGCACCCCACAGCCCGGAGGCCAGCCCCTCCCTGACGCCTGGGCCGCTTCTCCTGCCTGAGAGTCCAGGGTCTGGAAAGAAGTCTGAGACTGTTCCCCTGCCTGGTGCAGTCGCGCTGGTGGTTCTGTTTTAATTCTGTGGGTGTGTTTTCCCTTAGCATCAATATTTAATGCATTCTGCATTCTAGAAAAAATAAAAAGCCTCCTTGTTCAACCAAACAACTGAGGATGCCGCAGTGTTCCAACAAAGTTACAAAGGAGCCTTTCACGTTCGGAGAGAGCAGGTCCCTCTGTGCCCGCCTGTCTGGTTCTGCCTCCAGCCGTGCCAGCAGTGCCACCCTTCGACCTCGCAGCCTTGGGTGACCTCTTCCTACGCCTGGAGCTCCTCCTGGCCTGGGCCTGGGCCTGGGCCTCACCAACCAGGCCAGCTCAGCCTCCTGTTTCTCGGCCTGTGAGACCTCCTGACCCAGCCCACCATCCCCATCTTGCCCTAGAGGGGCCCGGCCGGCCCTGGTGCTGCCGGACCTCGCATCACCTTGTGTTAGTGTGGTGTCTAAACCCACAGAAGTGTCTAAAATGAGAACTAAGAAAAGCCCACGTGTCCCCCCGCGTGGATGTGAGCCCCTCCCTAAACTAGTCCATTTGTGTTCCCGCTTCACAGTCTGAACACGGCCGCCGCTTTAAAATGCCTGTGTGACGGGAGCCAGGTGGTCAGCCCCTGACCCAGGAGAACCCACCAGGTAGCAGGAGGCACAGCTCCCGCCTGGAGGATGGAGGAAGCCAGCAGGACACTTCCATGTGATAGACGGGCTACAGACACACTGACAACCAGACTGGAACAGCATGGAGCTGGCGTAACCTCAGAGCACAGCACACCTCCCCCTCAGGCCGTGCAGAGAGGCCAGGCTGCTGCCTCCAGGCCTGGGACCCCCGGCGAGGCTCACAGCGACCACCAAATGCTGCCCCCGTCCCCAAGATCAGCCACTAACAGCGCACGGCTCCACTGTTTCTCAGTGTTCCAAGGAAGACTCTGAGCATCCAGTCGGGTGGTTTAAGTGGATTCTTTGTAGCAACCAGGGAGCTCTGTAACTGGGATACCCATGGAAAACAGTGGTTTCACTGGCTGCATTGAATGCACATTGTCTCTTTAAAGAAAAAGCTGACAGCTGCAGACTAAAGTAGCTGACTTCTCTTGTTTTTTAAGTAACCAAACATGAAGGGTTGCAGCTCCTTTCTGTGTGCACAATACCGCCAAGACCTTCGCCGTCCTATCGCCCACCGCGTGCGGCAGGCAGAACTGTCTCCCTTACATTTAACTTAGCAGCCGAGCCTTGCTGCTTGGAATGGCGGGTGCGCTGAGGAAGGTGCTGAGGCAGAAACCCACAGAAGTGTCTCCAGAGGACCCCTCCCCACAATTCTAATCCTCAAAACCTAAGAAATCGTGACACTTCGCCAGAATGCCTGTGTATCCATGTGTGCATGTGTGCTGGGTGAGGTGACCCAGGGCACAGGGTGAAAACACTTCTCAGATCATTTCTACATTACCCTCCATCAATCTGTCCTCCAAATCACTATTTAGAAAGCCAAGTGTCAAGAAATGTTACAATGGGGAAGGGGGAGGGAAGGACTTTTTCAAACGGTGCTGCATGCACTGGGCGGCCAGGGAGGCCTCTGCTGGCTCTGGTTACACTGACAGGAGAGCTGTGAGCTGAGGGCCCCCCTGCACAGTGTGAGCGGCACAGGGAGCTCCTTCTCATTCATCCGGGCCCCTCCACAGCGGGCACTGACCTTCAGAGGACAGCGCTCTGGGAAAATAGGGCAATAACATCCATAGCCCAGGGGCAGAGGCAGGACTGTGGCTGAATGGGGGGGTGGGGGTCCTCCATTTCCAAACAGGGAAAAGCACAGCGTTCAGTGAGTGCCCTGAAAACAGCTCATTACAAACAAACGGCGGGAACTGTTTTTGTCAGGATGGGCCAGTATACCCACCAGCTCTAACCCGTCTTCATCTGTGGGATGCATTGCTCGGTAGATACCACCTTTATCGCATCAGCCCAACACCCAGAAAATACTCCGAATTTGGTTTCCAAGAATTTAGGGGGCTGGGGCGGGGGGTGGGGGGTGGGGGGTTGTTGGTTTTTATCCTCATCCAAGGACATGTTTCCATTAATTTTAAAAGTTCTAATTTTTAAAACTGTTTTTGTTGATTTCAGAGAGAGAGGAATGGGGAGGGAGAGCAGACACTGAGAGAGAAACAGAACTTGGATGTTCTAATTTTGCAAAACAGCACTGTTGGTCTTTCTTGCCAGGGACCTTGCCTCTTGTAATTGTCAAAGGCAGGTCCCAGGCGCTCACTGCCCTGCAAGGGACCCGGGACTGCTTCCGGGAGGAGCAGCCCAGGTCACTTCAAGGTCATAGGCCTGCCTTCTGAGCCTAGCACCTGTGCCCGTCCCCAGCCTGGCTCACCAGGGCTGAGAAGGGTCTCCTTCACTGGTAAAAGCAGTCATGCGTTGACCACTGACCTGCCGTGTCCTGGGAGTCGTCAAACTCCACGTTGAAAGCGTGGCCGTTGTTGAGGATCCGCTTGGATGCCGCCTGCTCGTAGGACACTGTCAGGGGCTTCAGCGCAGGGTCGTGAGCTGCCGCTTTGGTGTCGATGTCCACAGGGGACTGGCGGTTGCTCTTGGCAATGGGGAAGTCCTTGTGCCAGTGCTCGGGCCCTGGGTGGGAAGAGACGAGGGAGGCCGTGTGGGGACAGGACCCCACGCCCCAGGAAAGGGCAGTGATGCAGGTTCCCATTGGGCACCACCACCAAGCCCAATAACCTTCGGGAAAACACCCCTGCCTCAGTTTCCCCTTTGTACTGTGGGGTAATAATGTACCACAGGGACTGCGTGAGGATGGGCATCCATGTGTGGGGAGCAGTTAGAGCAGCCGGAGCGCACACAGCTCCCAGCCACCGCATGTCCTCTGACTGGCAACCCAGTCCCGCCTGGCAAGCCAGCGCCTGGTGATCCCTCACATTAGGGTCAGAGGTGAAGGGTAACTCCGTCCAGGGCAAGGAATTCTACCCACAGAGACATGCCAGGGACAGGCGGTGCCGGTGCCGGAGCCAGAGCCTGAGCCGGAGCCAGAGCCACAGGTGGCGCAGAGGATGGGTGTGGGGAGCGGCCCCTGATTCCTGCCACCAGCATCTAACATTCCCCTACAACCTCTCTCTCCTCCGGTCCAGGAGGGGCTGTCTGGCAGGGACCCGGGAGGGGCTGTCCTCGCGACTCCCGCTGAGGGACCCCCGCCCCCCCCCCCACTCCCCTGCCTGAGCGCGCCGGACGCGGGGATTGGGGCGGCGGAGCGGCGGGCGGTGGGCACCCCGGCAGGGTCGGGTGCCGGGAGGGGCACCCGGCAGGAGCACAGGCCCAGGCCCGGGCCGGGCAGGCGCGGAGCGGGCACTCACCGTTGCTCGGGCCGTACCCCCAGTGGTGGGACATGGTGGCAGCGGGTCGGGCGGGGCAGGAGTTGGCTCGCGTCCCGCGGCGGCGGCTTGGGCGGCTCGGTGTGTGCGCGGCCGCCGGCCCCGGCTTTTATAGGCGCCGCCAACTTGTGCCGGGCGGGCGGGGAGGGGCGGAGGACCTGGGAGGTGAGGGTGGAGGTGCGGTCCCGCCCGCGGCGGGGCAGGGGGACGGCGCCCTCCCGCTGCGCCCTCGCGGGGAGCTCCGGGCGGCGCCTGGGACCTGGCGGCCCCGGCTCCGCTCCGGGCGGCGGGCTGAGCGCACCCTCCGGGCGCGGGGTCCGGTGCGGCGCCCCGGGGTGGCCCTGCCCGCGCCTCCCTCCGGCCATTGTGACCGCATCCCGGCCGGCCCGGCGGCCCCCGCTCCGGGGTCTGGCCCCGAAGGCCCCCGGAGTCCCGCCCCGGCCGCCCGCGAGCTGGGGAGCAGTGACCTTGGGCGCACGGGATGCGGTCGGGCTTGGCGAGGGGAGCCGCGCCCCCCGCTGGCCGGCCGCGGGAGGAGGCCCGGAGCGCGGAGAGGACAGAGCTCAGCCCGGCAGACAGGGCGGAGGTGAGGGTCCCGCCGAGCCCCCGCGGGTGGGCCCCCCGCCCCGCAGCCGCCGCGCTGACCCCACACCCGCCCGGCGCGGGTCTGCCCTGAGCGCCCGGTTCCTAAAGGCGCCTGGCTTTCTCCGGCGAACTAGCCGCGCTCCTCTGTAAGCAGCCAAACCCACCGAGCTTTCCGGAGCCCAGCACTGAAACACTGCTCCCCAGTTCCAGGTTCACCCAGGACAGGAATGGAAAGAGTAACTGGGACAGTGACACTAAACAAGGCAAACGATGCCTGTTCAACATTGCTGCTCCGTGGCGCTGCCACAAGTGGCACCAACAGCACCCTCTAGTAAGGATGCAGCCGGCTCTACCCGGCTCTCTGTGGGCAGTTTCCCTTGCAGAGGACGTTGACGATGCCTGGGGCCTTGTGGTTGTCACAGGAGGGGTGCTCCTGGCACCCATGGGTGCTGCTCCGTTGCTGCTCTGCACAGGGCAGCCCTCCCACAGACGGCATCCAGCCCCAGTCCGGACACCGGGCCCAGCGCTGTCCCAGAGCCTGTCCGCGGGGTCTGAACGCCATGCCTGTGTGGGCGCACGGTCCCCAGGCCGCGCTGTGCCCAGGACCTGCCCTCTCTCCTCTTGTTGATGGGAGTGGGTAACAAGACCAGAGCTCTCCTCTGCACCCTGGGGTGACCGCGCTTCACCTCACTGAGAGCACCTCCCGGTGGCCTTCCTGCCCCGTGGTGACCCTGGCCAGTTAGGAGCATCACCGTGGGGAAAGGTCTCCGCTCAGAAATCGCCCCTGGGCAGGTCTTACTTCCCCTTGGAAACGGGAATGAATGAGCCTCCACGCAGGGCGTGTAGGTACCCATGTCTCCTCCTGGTAAAGGACCTGAGCCAGGATTCGCCAAGCAAAGCAGTCCTCCCAGGTCTTCCTCTCTGCGTCCAGGGTCAGCGAGTCCCGCTCGGGGGATGGGACGGTGCGGGCGACAGTGGCCCGCCTGAGATGCACGCTCGCGCGCTCGCTCTCTCTCTCTCTCTCTCTCTCTCTCTCTCTCTCTCTCTATATATATATATATATATATATATATACACACACACACACACACACACACACACACACACACACACATACTAGAGGCAAAATTCATGCACGGGGGCGGGCGGGGGGGGTGTTCCCTCAGCCCAGCCTGCACCCTCTCCAATCAGGGACCCCTTGAGGCAGGCATCTTCAAACTACGGCCCGAGGGCCACATGCGGCCCACAGAGGAGTCTGATCCGGCCTGCCAGGTTTTTTGGGCAGTGAGCGCAGCCGAGGTGTTACAGTAGGAATTAGTAGTTCATATAGTCTGGCCCTCCAGCTCTCTGAGGGACCGTGATCTGGCCCCCACTTTAAAAAGTTTGAGGACTCCTGCGAGGGATGTCTGACTGCCGTTTAGGCCCGATCCCTGGGCAGTTGTACATCCTTTTCACAATCCAAGACTGCTGGCTCCCAACTGCTCGCCTGCCTGCCTTCCTGATTGCCCCTAACCGCTTCTACCTGCCAGCCTGATCACCGCTAAACACTCCCATGTCAGCCTGATTGATGTGTAAGTGCTCACCTGCCAGCCTGTTTGCCCCCAACTTTCCTCCTCTGGTGGTCTGGTCACCCCTAACTGGCGCCCCCTGAAGGCTTGATCACCCCCAACTGCCCTCCCTTGAAGGCCTGGTCTCTCTCAACTGTGCTCCCCTGCTGGCCATCTTGTGTCCACATGGGGGCAAGATCTTTGACCACATGGGGGAAGCCATCTTGTGTGTTGGAATGATGGTCAATCTGCATATTACTCTTTTATTAGATAGGATAGAAGGACACTGTGTGTCTGTCATTTCTGTTTCAGTCCTGGTTCATACTCTAACATTGTCTTTGTGGTCTGCTCTGGCTCAGGCTGGACTCTGCTGGCGAGGGCGCAGGAGTCCCAGTCATGTCTTGCCAGGCCCCTGTGCCCTGGCTGTGCCATCTGCCCCTCTTCTTGTGGCACTGATATCACCATTCACCACGACTGTGTGCCCCACGTGCAGGCACGGTGCTCATGCCAATAAGCCCTGGCCCGCCGTGGCTGCTGCTCTATGACTTATCTGGGGTGGTGTCCCCCCGCCCCATCCTCCTCCTCCTAATATTTATCGGCAGTCCTCTGGTTTTGTTTTACCTCTTCCATACTCTACACATTAACACTTTGAAAAGCACGAGACCCTTTCCACAGAAGGCTTGGCATCACTTGTGTACACCTCTGGGGCGCACGGGATGCGGTCGGGCTCGGCGAGCATCAGCGAACACAGAGCACCTCCCGCTCAGCGCAGGTGCACAGCGAGCTGCAGGCGTGCTTACCACCCAGGCTACATGGTGATTCCTCAGGGCCTTTGCCCTCCCGGGGCCCAACCAACGTTTCAGTCAGTTCAGCTCCCAGGGCAGAGGTGGAGCATGCCTTAGCATCCTGCAGCAGGCCTCTACTAGGACAAATTAAAAGGAAGAAATTACACCTTCCCTGATGAAATATTATTAAAATGCTTGTTTAACAAAAATTATAATAGGAAGACCGTTTAGATCATCCAGTTATGAGCTGACCCAGCAAACCATTCCCACCACCACCTCCACCACCACCACCACCACCACCATCTCTACCACCACCTCCAACACCATCACCACATCCCACCACCTCCACCACCACCAAAACATCCCACCACATTCACCACCTCCACCATCTCCACCACCACCACCACCACCACCTCTACCACCACCACCACCTCTACCACCACCTCCAGCTCCACCACATCCCACTACCACCACCTCCACCACATCCCACCACCACCACCTCCACCACATCCCACCATCACCTCCACCACATCCCACCACTTCCACCTCCACCACATCTCATCACCACCACCTCCACCACATCCCACCATCACCACCTCCACCACATCCCACCATCACCACCTCCACCACATCCCACCACTTCCACCTCCACCACATCCCACCAGCACCACCTCCACCACATCCCACCATCACCACCTCCACCACATCTCACCACCACCACCTCCACCACATCCCACCACCACCTCTACCTCCTCCTACACCACCACCTCCACCACATCCCACCACCACCACCACCACCATCACATCCCACCACCACCACCACCACCACCACGACCACTACCACCACCACCACCACCACATCCCACCTCCACCACATCCCACCACCTCCACCTCCACTACATCTCACCACCACCTCTACCACCTCCACTATATCCCACCACCACCACCTCCACCTCCACCTTCACCATCACCACCTCCACCATATCCCACCACCTCCACCTCCACCACATTCCACCATCACCACCTCCACCACATCCCACCACCTCCACCTCCACCACATCCTACCACCTCCACCTCCACCTCCACCACCACCACCTCCACCACATCCCACCACCTCCACCTCCACCACATCCTACCACCTCCACCTCCACCTCCACCACGACCACCTCCACCACATCCTACCACCTCCACCTCCACCTCCACCACGACCACCTCCACCACATCCTACCACCTCCACCTCCACCTCCACCACGACCACCTCCACCACATCCTACCACCTCCACCTCCACCTCCACCACCACCACCTCCACCACATCCCACCACCTCCACCACCACATCCCACCACCTCCACCTCCACCACATCCTACCACCTCCACCTCCACCTCCACCACCACCACCTCCACCACATCCTACCACCTCCACCTCCACCTCCACCACCACCACCTCCACCACATCCCACCACCACCACCACCACATCCCACCACCTCCACCTCCACCACCATCACCTCCACCACATCCCACCACCACATCCCACCATCACCACCTCCACTACATCCCACCACCACCACCTCCACCACATCCCACCACCACATCTCACCACCACCACCTCCACCACATCTCACCACCTCCACCGCCACCACATCCCACTACCACCAGCAGCTTACTATTCCCACCACCACCACAACCACCACCACCAACCCTAACAACAAACCATTACCATCACTACCACCCCGAGTTTGATTTCTGGTAAATTCACTGAGTAAAAGCTTTTTCCCCTAGGGAATTCTCAGCTATGAGTACACTCTAGTAGGGGTGTCGAACTCAATCAGAGAAGGGGCCAAAATCTAAAATCCAGCCTAAATCGTGGGCCGAATGGTTTACTGAACAGTCATAAACTGTCATTGTGATGGAAACGCAGCGGAGTGCAGTGATGACAGCGCAGTGCGGGCCACATTGCAAGGCCTGGGGGGACGGATTTGGCCCGCGGGCCTTGTGTTTGACACATGTGCTCTAGGGAGTGATTACAAGAGCATGAGTACGTTTGTGGAGTGCAGTCTGTGTTGCCTGTGGGTTGCCTGTGTTGCCTGTAGGTTGGTGTGGGACAGAATATGTCAGTAGGAAATGCTTACTGGATTTTCATTATCAGCCTACTCTGTGCACCTCTGGCCATGACACATGGAATTAGGAAGACTCGTCCTTATAACGGTGGGCAGTTACTGTGGCATCTCCCCACGAAACTCAGAACGTGGAGCATGAATGTCACAATGGGAAATGGACGTGAACGTGGAACTTCAAGTTCTGGACTTGATCTGCTGGTTCCTGCCCTGCTCCAGGGCCACAGGCTCATTGCCAGCAGCCTCTGCCGTGTGCACAGAGAAGCAGGTGCTAACGGAGATAAGTTTCTGGGTAGAGGATGTGCTTTTTAGCTCCTAAACATGCCTCTCCCATACTAAGTGAAATGCATTTTTTAAATTTAAATTTTCAAAAGATAAGGTTTGACCATATAAAGCTGCTTCCCTTTCCCATCCAAAGTCTCTTTACAGAGAGGCTGGGTGGTGGCAATAGAAACCCCTGCCTCCTCCAGAACTCCGGGGACGGGGACAGGCCTCACACCAGTTCATAGTTGTACATTCAGTATTTTAGGATTCTCATTGCCTCATCCATCCATATCCACCCATCTACCCATCCACTCTTTTATTCATCCATCCATTCATCCACCCATCCACCCACCCTTCCAGCCATCTATGTATCCTTTCTTCCTTCTTTCCTTCCATTCTTCCCTCCTTCCACCTATCTGTCTGTCAATCTTCCCATTCCTCCATTCAGCAAACACATTTGAGCACTGACTAGGTTTCAGATGCTGTTAGGTCCTGGGGCCTCGGTAGTCTAACAAGGCAGGTGGAGTCCTCCCTTTTCTATAGCCTTCTGCCCCCAGGACTCATCACACTCACTCACGCACACACCAAGTAACATCACAGGTGAGTTAAATGGACTTGTTGCTCCAAAAATTGGTTCCCAGTGCAAGAACCCACCCTAGGTCTTCCCTTAAGAGCAGCCTCTTTATGGCTGTCCACCCGCACCTTCCTGCTTAGTTTTCAGTTCTCCCCCATAGTCCTGCTCTCTGCCTGCTCTGCTCAGCTCCGCACTCCCTCCCTAGCCAAGCCCGACCCTGGGCCCCCAAACACCCACATGTCCCCGCCTGCCTCAGGGCCTCCGTTAGGCTGACTCCCTGGAGCAGAAGTGGGAGTTCAGGACCAGATCGCACAGTGAGTTCAAAGGCTGCCTTTCTAATGTACTTTCCTGGGACTTAAGTGTCCGTGGGGGGAAGAAGTCCCTGGATCACGAGTGTTAGGAACCATTCAAATTTTAAATGAGCCAAGTGAGGATGACAGAAATGTATGAACATGTGGAAACCAAGAATATGCACATTTAATGGCCAAAACATTTCCCCTGAGCTCCCAGGCCCTCCTGTACCAGGAGATGATTTAATACAAGGGAGAATCTGATGCTGTTTACTGCAATCAGACTCCCTGGCTAAAATTAGCTCTCAGATCGCTGGGTTTTGTGCCGCTGCTCTGCACCAGGTCCCTGGTGACCTCGCTGCTAGACGCTCTCACCCTGCTGATTACCTGTGATTATCACCTGGTCCAGTTGTCAGGTGGCTGTCACCAGGCACCTTCAGATCCAAAGGGGTTCATTAGCTCCTCTGTCCTGGATTTCACTCCTCATCTCTTTAATTTCCTTTTGTGCAATAAGATGGTCATCCCCAAACGTGTACCCTTGTCTCCCAGGTCAACGTGGGCGACAGCCAGGTTCTGATGCTGAGGTGTGCCCAGACAAGCCCAAATTAATTCCACGCAGGAGACCTACTGCACTCACCGTGGAGGTGGCTTTCCCCTGTGTGCAGAGCCCCCAGTCTCTCTCCGGGCACACTTCACCACCTCTCTCCTTGTTTGTTTTCTGTGTGTTTGCCCTCAGTACTTGTCACCAGGGAGAGTGCAGAGCTGTGGAGCAGGGCCTTCCTCAGGAGAGTTCCCAGACTCCCACCATCCTCCTAACGTTGTGCTCATTTCTGGTGTGGCCACATTGGATGGGACAGGGGCCATTGGCTTGTGTCTAAATTCCATTTCCCCAGTACCAGTCACAGAGAGGGCCTGTTAGAGGGGCTTGCTGTGGCAACTCCTATAGTATTATTCTAATTGAATAGAACCTGGTGCATGAAAATTCATTCCCTGGAGGGTGGGTCCCTCAGCCTGGCCTATCCCCTCTCACAATCCGGTAGCCCTTGGGGTCAGGAGGCCACCTGATGATCAGGGGAAGGTGACCCCCCATCACACCTCTGCTGCTGCCACTGCTGGCAGCACAAGCCTAGGTCAGCCCTGGTTACCTGAGCCTCAGGTGGCCCTGGGAAGCTGGGCAGCTGCCATCCGAGACTTGCCTGTACCTCAGGCTGGCCCTAGGTGGCTGCGGGGCTGAGGGGACTGGGGGACTCCGGGGGCAGGCACGTGGAACAGCTGCACCTACTGCCCCAGTGGGGCTGAGGGGACTGGGTGCCACCATCTTGTGGCTGTGAGCACCGCCATCTTTGAGGGTGTGACAGTCAATTAGCATATTCCCTCCTTATTGGCTATGGGTGCCACCATCTTTGCGATGGTGTGAGGGTCAATTAGCATATTCCCTGTTTATTAGATAGGATGACATATGGTCCATGATACTGATAGAGACATAAAGAACATGACCTCAGGTACTGAATATTCCATTAGAACTATTATTAGTTTAAGTATAATTAGTGTACAGAAGGTAATTGTTAACCTTTACTGAGTTTATTACATGCTAAAGTAAATTAACCAAGAGGTTTATATAAACTCAACCCATTTAATACTTAAAACAACCCTCCTGTTCACAGGGGGGAAACTGAGGCATAGAGAAATGAACTTGCCTGAGGCCGCACAGCCAGTAAGCATTGTGTGACTTGAATTGAGGCAGGGCTGAGGAAGTTTCTTTCTCATTTATTTACATTTCAGTTCAATAACTATTGTCTAATCCCCCAGGTCTCATTTTGGCTCTTAAAATTTTCAAAAGTATGTAATAATGCCTCGCCATCTTTTCTTTGTAGATGGACATTAACGGTTCATTAAGCATTTGAGAAGAGCAGAAAGGGTGTTCAGAATTAAACAACACAGGCTGGCTTTTTGTCATTTTTATAATTGTGCTGCCATCTAGTGGCCTATATGAAAAATAACATACAAACATGGCTTTATTTTTGCATTTTAAGTCTGCGGCCTTAGAGTAGCTTTAAAAAAATAATTAAATTTACATGCATTAAATCTGGAAAAAAAATTAATCTGACATTCACAGTTATCATTATTTTTTCTTTATTTTCTCACTATTCTTCCCCTACTATAATATGTAATGCTTACATTCAGAATTATTCTTTAATCCTATCTAATAAAGAGGGAATATGCTAATTGACCATCATGTTCTTACAAAGATGGCAGCACCCACAGCCAATAAGGAGGGAATATGCTAGTTGATTATCACGCCCTCAAAGATGGCGGTACCCACAGCCACAAGATGGTGGTATCCAGTCCCCTCAGCAACGCTGGGACAGCAGGTGCACAGCATGACCGAGCCTGCCCCCAGGTGGGTCCGGCCACTCTGTGTGTCTGCCTCCAGAGTCCCCCAGTCCCCTCAGCCCCCGGCCACCCAGGGCCTGCCTGAGGTACAACCAATTGACTGAACAAGCAGGCTGCGTGGGGCGACCAGGCCAGCAAGGGGGTTAGTAAGGGATGACCAAATGACCGAACAGCAGACTGCATGGGCAACCAGGTTGGTGGGGGGGCCGTGAGGAGTGACCAGGCTTGTGGGGGAGGCAGTTGGGGTTGACCAGGCCAGCAGGGAGGGCTGTTGGGGGTAACCAGGCTGGCAGGAGAGGAAGTTGGGGGCAAGCAGGCTGTCAGGGGGGCAGTAAGAGGCGACTAGGTCGGTGAGGGGGGGGGGGGCGACAGGTGGGGGCAACCAGGATGGCAGGGGGGCAGTTGGCAATTGGGCTGGCAGGGGGGCAGTGAGGGGTGACTGGGCTGGTGGGGGGTGCAGCTGAGGACAACCAGGCCGGCAAGGATCGACCGGGGCTACCAGGCTGAAAGAGGGAGGTAGTTGGGGCCACCAGGTCGGTGGCAGGGGGCAGTTAGGGGTGACTAGGCTGGTAGGGGAGACAGTTAGGAACAACCAGGCTGGCAGGGAGGGGGAAGTTGGCAGCGACCAGGCAGACAAGCAGGTGAGTAATTAGGAGCCAGCGGTCCTGGATTCTGAGAAGGATGTCTGACTGCTGGTCTAGACTAGGAGTCAGACATCCCCCAAGGGGTTCTGGATTGGACAGGGTGCAGGCTGGACTGAGGGGACCGGGCCTCTAGTATCAAATAAGAAGACATTCAAAGAGAAACTGACATCTAATTAATCTTACGTGTGGTTTTGAACCTATGAATTTCTTTCAGACCAATTTTGTTTTGCCAATTCTTATTTGAATGACTGGCACACTGACTTTTCACACATAACCAGCTTGTTTATAGTTCATACCAGCAGTATTTATTTAGTGATCACAGGTGGACACTGACACCTGCAGTCTGACAGATTCTGTGCAGACATGTTTGCTCATCTGCACCGGCACCCACTGACCCACATAAAGAGCTTCAGGCCCTCAGGCTGCACAGTCATTTATTGCTTCATAGACACACTGTCAGCCCTTAGAGGGGTTTAACACAGGTTCACCCTGGAGACCCGGCAGTGCTCAAATCCAGCAAATTCTTGATTCTGATGCCCATTCAGACTTCTCAGGATATAATCATGTGAATATTACGACTCAGTTCAGACTGGTTTCTGCCCTCTGCTGATTCTGCTCTGCAGAACAGAAGGTGGCCCGCACTGTCCCTCCTCCCGCAGCTCCTGGCCCGCTCCCTCTCAGGCCGTGGGCCTGGAAGGCTCTTGTCTGGAGGTCTGTGCACCGCCAGGTAAATGCCCCCACGCAATCAGGTCCCAGTGTGGTTTCACTGTTCACGTGGACATTCATAATAACTCAGCAATGAGCCCAGGGAGAAGTTGGAGGAAGTGTTAAGTTGGATGATAATTGTGAGCAATGACCCAGATTGAGGTCTGGGGCGGGCGGGGGGAGGTGGGAAGAGGGGAGTAAAGTTTTACTGGAAAGCTACCACCTGAAGCTAAAGGAATCATTTCCAAGGAGATCTAAATGAAATAAGATGAGCAAAAACCAGTACTAATTTGAACCCTGCCGAGTAAAGTATTTCTCAAGAAGGTGCGTATTGTCCTGTGTTCATCATCCATTCACTGAGTGTTCGTTGGACATGTGCTCAGTACCAGGCGCCGTCCCAGGGCCCGTGGGGAATGTCAGTGTCCAGACTCTTACCTGTGCCTGACGGAGCTCACAGCCCAGGGGGCTTGCTCCCCTGATCAGACGGTTGCTCTCTGGGCAGTTCTTGCCGTGGAGCTGCATACTTGCAGCCTGTGGCTGGCACAGATGTGTGTCCATGTGCAGTGTGCCCTGGACACGTTCACAGCGCTCCAGCCTGACACGGGGATGCGCTGCCATTTCCGCTAATTGGATGCTCCTGCCTCCCAGTTCCAGGGGATTTAATTAGCACATCCGGCTCACACTGACCAACCTGTTCACTCACCCAAGTGGCCATCCATTACATTACCTTCCCTCCCGGGGCTCCTGGCCTAGCACCACTTCACTTCCTAAAGTCATTAACCCGAGCCAGTGAGGAGATGAAATGCACATTGAAGTTTATGTCTAAAGACAGTAAATGGTTTGAAGGTCTAAGTGGATGGACTTTTAAATTTAAAAAAAGTATATATATATTGATATATACACACACACTCACACATTCAAACACACACACACACACACACACACACACACACACACTAAGGCCTGGCTGACAAAATTCATGCATGGGAGGGGGGGTCCCCTCAGCTCAGCCTGCACTCTCTCCAATCCGGGACCTCTGGGGAAGGGGGGGGGTGCCTGACTGCTGGTTTAGACCCGATCCCAGGGGTCAAGCCTAAATCAGCAATCGGACATCCCTCTCACAATCTGGGACCTAAGTGCTCATCTGCCTGCCAGCTTGATCACCCCTAACTGCCTCTGCCTGCTGACCTAGTCACCCCCTACTCCCCCTCCCTCACTGGCCTGGTTGCCTCGAGAAGACTGCTATTCAGTCATCACTGTGAGGTTGTCCTGACCAATTTGCATATTACCCTTTTATTAGTATAGATACTCAGTGCACAAAATTCGTGCATTCGGGGTGGGGTTCCTCAGCCTGGCCTGCACCCTCTCACAGCCCGGGAGCCCTTGGGGGATGTTCTACAGCCAGACATCCTTAGTGCTGCCACAGGCAGGAGGGGCTCCCGCCACCGCCGCTGTGCCCACCAGCTCTAAGCCCACTTAGCATATTGTGCTTTGATTGATTGAACGGCGATCTGCAGACCAGACACGTAGCATATTAGGCTTTTCTTATATAGGATTGATTTCAGAGGTAAGGGGAGACAGAAACATTAATGATGAGAGGGAATCATTGATCAGCTGCCTCCTGCAAACCCTGCAGTGGGGATCGAGCCTGCAATCGGGGCATGTGCCCTGACCTGGAATCGAACCGAGACCTCCTGGTTCATAGGCTGATGATGTTCAACCACTGAGCCATGCTGCCAGGGCTAAGTAGATGGACTTTTGATGTGTTGGACCAGGGTCATTCCTTGTCCCTCAGGAGCGCCTATGGTATGAACCCCAAATCCTGAACCAGCCTTCAGACTTCTGGAGATGGCATTCCAATTCATGGCCACGTGGTTCTTTTACGGCTTCCTCAGAGGCTTCCACTAATTGTCTTCGCCACTCCCAGGGGTGCAGCATCCAACCAAACTCAGCATGTGGGGCTGCTCTCACTGCCCCTCCATCACCAACACCTGTTCTTAGTTTTACTCTGTTTTGTTATGTGCAACCCTTCATTAAAAAAACAAAAACAAAACAAAAAGCACACACACCACTGCACAGAACTCTTCGTGTTCATGGCTTTATTATTTTGCTGATCAGCCACCCGCCTCGCTGCACGTCAGACATCGCCCCTGCAGGCGTGGTGAATCCCACCCGCAGCTCAGATAGAGCGATGGGCCGTTAGTTAACAAGCATGCAAAAATCAAAGGAGCGAAATAAAAAATAAGTGGTCCTCCTTCCGGGAAAGAAAAATATTAGGCCACAGTCAACCACCTCTAGGAAGAAAAAATCCAAGTACCAAGTCATGTTTTCTTAAAACTCCTGGTCGAATGTGTCTTTGTTTCATTGGTAATTAAAACCAGGTCATCTTTACAGGAGCCAGAACTTTAATACAGCGTGGGCCTCTGCTGGTTTTAGTTAAGGGTTAAATTCTCATCTCATTCCTGTCTGGTCAAGTTTAAGTGCTATGTGACTTACACACTCCTCCACACCTCGTATGGAATCACTCACTCAGCTGTTAAGATGGACAATGCATAATGTGAAAACTGTAAAACTGAAGTTCTGTGAAAATTGACAGGAAATGGTGCCCATAGCCTTATCCCATACCTGTACTCCTCCATCTCTTCTGAATCTGGGCTACCAAAGCTACTTTTTTAAGGAGAGGGGGTCGGGGTCATTACAAAGGCCGTTGCTTTCGGCTTATCCTGGGTCAGTGATGGCATCGCTCATCGCTCATCGCTCGATGAAGACTGAGGCACACGTGGCACAAGGAGCAGGGAAGGAGGCGGGGAAGGAGGCGGCCCGAGCTCTGGCGGGTCCCTCAGGGAAGCTCACTTGAAGGAGGCTCTCACCACCCGGCCCTTAATGGGCTGTGGGGGGCGCCAGTTTCCCACGAGGGGCACCGGCGGCTCGTTCTCGGCGCTGGACAGGAGGGTGCGTAGCTTGGCCATCTGCGGGCAGAGGAAGGTGGTCAGCTCCACGGCAGACCAGGGAACACACCATGTGTGCAACAGAGTGAGAACCCCACGGCTTTGCAACAAGCCAGCAAACGCAGGCCCTGCTCTCGTGTCAGGCCAGAGCTGCTGGGTGACCAGTTCCTGGTAGAACAGGCCTTTTCTTCACGGTGAAAACTCTCCCGCAGGACCGCATGCCCCGGTCAGAGTCTCCTCCCCAGGTTCTGAAACAGTTGGTGTCACGGAGGAGGGACCATGTCGGCGAAAGCCGACCTGTCAGCCATCTCCGCGGGGTGCATGGGGTGCCCGTGGTATAAAGAGCAGAGGAACTAACAATCACGCTACATTTAAAACCTCAGAATGGACTCTTTTTCTTTAGGGAGAGGAATTTAGGAAATTCTTGTCAGTGATGCTATATTTCTACAAGAAAATATGTTTAGCTTTTCTCCTTTAAGAAAATTTCCTCTTTCAAAATATCTGTACCAGAGAACTTGGCGATTAAAGCCGATCTGTTGATGACGATGCCACGGGAACCTGAGTCCACGAGGCCGCAAAGAGAACTGGGGATGCTGAGCCCACATCCACCCCCGCCCCCTGGGCTGCCACTCCAGCCTGGCCTCCACCCCTCCCTGACTGTCACGCACCTCAGACGGCAGTGAGGAGGGAGCCTGGGGGTTGGAGCAGACAGGCCGGAGGTGGAATCTCAGCTTGGCTGTGTGACCCCCAGCTAATTACTTGCCTGTTTCTGAGCCTCAACTTACCTGTATGATACCTCGCTGGTGACACTCCCTCCCCAGGGTCAGCACCTCCTCCCCAGGCCTGGAGGAGCCTCCTCCTCCTACCCTGCCCTTGTTGCCTCCCAGGAACAAAGTGCTGCTCATCGGAACCCAGAGTTTCCAGAGCATAAACTCAGTCACTGTCCAGCATCACAGCCACCTGGAATGGTGAGCCTTATCCTGGTGCCCGAGGAAGTCACGCTGGGGGGTGGGACAGGCTGACTGTGGCTGTACCTGCCGGGCCCTCTGGGACCTCACACTGGGGGGGGGGGGGGGGGGGGGGGAGACAGGCTGACTGTGGCTGTACCTGCCGGGCCCTCTGGGACCTCACACGGGGGTGGGACAGGCTGACTGTGAACCCCTGGTGTAGGGCAGCTCTCTGAGCTTCCACAGGGCGGCCGTACACTTTCCCTTTGGCATCACTCCCAGGGAGCCAGCCAGCGCCGCGTCCGTGCTACAGCTCACCTGCTCGGAGCTCACGGTCATGGGCTCCTTGAGCAGCAGCCACACGATGCACTCCTCACAGGGCGGGGTGGTGAAGGAGCCGTGGTAGGTCCAGTAGTCACGGCAAGCGGGGAACAGGCAGGAGGGGTCGAAGTGGGTGAAGGGCACCTCCTTGCCCTGCAGGGGGTACGGGGGCAGGGGAGATGGGCAGGTGAGGAGGCAGGCGCACTGAGCGTTCACACCGCTCTCCCAGGCCCTCACTGCTGTGTTTGTCAGAATAAATTCAAGGCCGCAGAGACAATGGAGATTTTAAACAAAACGCATGCCTTCAGAAATAAAGGCCCAAGGGCAAAGGGCAGCGGGTCTGTGAGGTCTGACTATGTTACTCCTTTTCCGCTGCCGGCAGAGACGAAGTTCTATCACTTCTCAACAAGAGAAACCTCGCTGCACTGTGACAGAAACCATCATGTCAGTCACTCTTTGGGCCTCAATGGTGGAAGCAGTGCAGGTTCTGCTGGACACGGAATGCGTCCCGTGGCGGCAAAGCACGCCGCACTCAGTGGAGGAGCCGCAGACAGCCCAGCGGGCTCATTAGGGGTTTCCTGTGCAGGTGACCCTGTGTGGGTGCTACGGGCAGCTGCAAGCGGCATTCTGCAAGTGTGCATGTGTGTGTGTAGCATGTGTGTAGGTGCTGCGCATTATGTGTGTGCATGTCACCTGTGTGTGCATGTGCTGTGTTGCGTGCTGTGCATTGTGTGCACATGCACATTGTGTGTGTGTGTGTACATTTGGTGTGTGCATGACGTGTTTGTGTTTGTGTGCATTTGGTGTGTGTTGAATATGTGCATACATATGGGGGTGCCTGTAGTGTGTGTGTATATGATATGTGCATGAGGTTGTGTGTAGGTAGTGTGTACGCATATGGTGTGAGTGTGTGCATGTTATACATGTATATGATGTGAGAGAGTGTGTGTGTGTGTGCATGTTATACATGTATATGGGGTGTGTGTGTGTAGTGTGCATGTGTTTGGGGGTGGCCATGCTCGTCCACTTGTTGAGGGAGCAGTTCGTGACAGACTGACTGTGAGCATTACATAAGCGAATGCATGTGGAAGGGCTTTACAGCTGTAAATATACGGACATAATGGTACCTATTTGCATGTATGTGTTTAGCTCACTCATCAGCGTGGCAGAGGATTCAGGTGGGAGGGATGTGGAAGGAGGAAGCTGACAGAGCGCCGCTGTCCTGGTGGGAAGGAGGCTGTACCTTGGTCTTCACTTTGTCCAGCGCATCGAGAATCAGCTGGAACTCGCCTTTCTCACGTCCTATCTGCAAGAAAATAGAAAGCCAGTGATTATACCTTCTCTCTCCATAATTTAGGACTGTCTTAAAACCAATTCTGACCTGCTCCATAATTTAGGACTGTCTTAAAAAAGCAATTCTGACCCATCCATCTGCAACCAGTACTCCTAACTCTGCCAGTAGTCCATGAAAAGAAAACATAAATTTCTTTCTCCCCTTCAAATTTCAGAGTTTGCATTTTCTGAACTAAACTTGGATCCGGGCCTCTGAAGGACAGAACCACAAAACTGCATGTTGATCTGCTTCTGTGTCCTTGACCTTCTCTGCAAAGTCGTTCCAAGTTGTTGTTTTTTCTAAATAGAATTAGAATCGGGATGGACTCAATGTACCTAAAACTAGACTCCCGCCTGTCTTTCCACCAGACCCACCCCTTCCTGGGGGGCTGTCCAAGCGGGCCATGGCCACTGAAGGAAGAACATGAGACGAATCAGGTCATTGGGAAAGAAAGAAGGCAGGCTTCCACTCCTGGCTTCGAGTCTGGATTATGTCGCCACTAAAGTGTTTCGTTAATGACACTGAGGCCTCTTTAAACCGAGGCTGGCTCAACAACACACACATTCCCCGCGCTGTCTCCGCTGAGACTGGGAGCACGTGGCCTCCCTGAGCCCGGGATGGGAGGGGTGCGGGGGGGCCGGCCTGGGCATCACAGGCTTTGCTGGTGTGCAGGCCGTGGGCTGAGTAGTGGGAAAGGGTAACAGGCCACGCTGCCCGCTCGCCCTCCACGCCACACTCACCTACAGATCCACATCTTGAGAAATATGGCAAAGGTACACTTTTAAGGGAAAGCAGGCATTTGAGCTGGTCTTAGCAGAAATACCTGCATTAGTTGAATGAATATTGAAATTCATTCTGCTCCCCGTTAAGCAAAGGAGGGGTAGGCGCTTGCACTTAGCGTGGGTGAGGACGTCAGTGTGGAGATCACATGCGGCCGAGCGGCTCTCACCTTCAGGAAGATGCCCACCACGGCGATGCCGTCTGGCTGCTTCAGAGCTTCTCCGAAGGTGTTGTACTTGGGGTTCCAGTGCACCAGATGCAGCTAGAAGCAGAGAGGCTGTGAGCTCCTCCTGGCACCAGGACACCCGTCCAGTGCCCACAGACACCCAAGCTCTCCCGCCTGAGGCCACTCAGAGTGAGCTCGGAGAAGCTGGCGGGATTCTAATCGTAACAGCCACCAGGTGGGTGACATGTCAAATGTTCAAATGTGTATAAAACGAGGACAAACAGATTTAGGACTTTGCGATAAACAGTGAATAGAAATTGAACTACGAATTCAGAGATCAGCTCCCTCCTCTACAGACAGAGCTCGGTCTGCTGGCCCCTGCAGTCCCAGGAAACTGGGAAGTGGGGGGAAGTAGGGGACGTGACCGTCTCCATATCGCCCTCCTGCTCGCAGCCGGGGTAACCTCGTCCTAATGCGGAACACAGGTTCCAGGTAAGTGAGGCCCAGGCCCATGCTGAGCTGCATGGAATGGCAAGAGAATACAATAGTTCCTGGCAGTCAGCACTGTTTTATTCACTGTCAAACATGAGAGATGACCCCACGCATGGAGGTCAGACTGCAAGCCCCACCATATTTGCAAAGAGCACAGGGAACTTGAGGGCGATGCTGGAAGCATTGGCAGCAGTGAGTGTCTCCCGCCCTCAGGGGGCTGTGGGTGGATGGCCACCGAGGGCCTGTGGGCCTCCCGGAGTTAGCTCACCCAACAGCCCGGCCACCTGCATGTCCCCTCCCTTCCTGCGCTGCCCGGGCCGCCGGGAGGGGGAGGGGCGGGAAGATGCTGGCCTCCAACACTCTTGAGAATGTGCAGGAGGCTTGTCTCAGTTCCTTGTCAGTCAGGACCCTGATCTGAGCTACAAATCGTGCTTTGTAAAAATGGACTCACGAGATAAGGAGTAGCATTTGCTCACATTAAGTGTGTGTGTGTGTGTGTGTGTGCGCGCGCGTATGTATGTGCATATGTAATCACACACGTATGCACAGGCTTCACTAGGAGAGGGGCAGGTGTGCTGGCAGAATTACGGATCGCCGTTCTGGAAGCACCACGTTCCTTCCAGAGGCGTTCGGGGCGCAGGACGAGCTGCCAGACGGAGCAGGTCTGAGGCTGAGCCCTGCAGGCCGCCCTGGAGACTTCTCTCGGCCTGCCTGTGCCTCAGTTTCCTCACCTGTCCCTGCCTCGTGGGGCTGAGAGAGGGCGCAACAGTGCCCACCGGCAGGCATCGTGCAGGCGACCATTACCTGCCCAGTCCCAGTGGCCGCCCAAGTTCTTCAGGCCATCTGGGAACTCTTCCCCAGGCACCCACCGGCCCCCTTAACTCCTTAGCGGTTGGCCGCTGGCCAGAAAGGACCGCAGCTCTTTGCTCAGCTACCACTGGGCACAGGGCTGGCTGCTCCCCGGGTGGCACTCCTACCTCGGCGGCATACTGCACCCCGTCCACGGTGTGCTCAGAGCCGTGGTCGTCGGCGGAGCCCCAGTGCAGGTGGAACTGGCGCAGGCGGTAAGGCCCGGTGAGAGGGCCGCCCCTCAGCACTGCGAGGAGAAGCGGGTCAGCGGGAGCCGGCCCCTCCGCACCCCACCCGATGCTGCCCTGATGCCCGGGCTGGCACCTGGCCGCACGGGCCCCCTCTTCCGAGAGAGTGTTGGCCTCTATCAGAGACAGCGCTGTTTCCATCCTCTCTTGCTTGTTTGCTCCTATTATTATTTTTAATGTCAATCTAACATTTAGGAAAATAAAAGCAAAGCAACAGGGTGAGCCTGAGGGCTGTAGACAAGCAGAGTGTGGGTGGGCGTATGGAGCAGTGGGAAGTGACTGAGGGCTGAGAGCCAGACAGATATCTGGTCCCGGTCTCCTCCAGGGCCCTGTGCCCTCCCCCTTGGTCCTGCACCCTCCTCTTTGGCCTTTTGCCCACCCCCTCCCCCTCTCCTGTGCCCTCCCCACCTGGCCCTGTGCCCTCCCCATCCCCCCACCCCACCCTGGCCCTGTGCCCTCCCCCTGGTCCTGCACCCTCCTCTTTGGCCTTTTGCTCACCCCCCCTCCTGTGCCCTTCCCACCTGGCCCTGTGCCCTCCCCATTCCCCTCCCCCCCAGCCCTGGCCCTGTGCCCTCCCCCTGGTCTTGCACCCTCCTCCTTGCCCTTTTGCCCAGCCCTTCTCCCTCTCCTGTGCCCCCTGGTCCTAACACGCCCCCCCTCAGGCCAGTTGCTGAACTTCTCTGGGAAGGTGGGAAGGTGCTAAGAACACCAGCTTTTGGGGCTGCTGGGAGGATGAAAGGAGATTAAGGGTGAATTGCTCATCATGGTGCCCAGTGGGGCAAGCACTGAGCACAGTGAGTTCTTTTCTCCATCTGCTTTCCTCTCCCAGCCAGGGCTGCTGTGGACGGTCCGTGGTCGGTTCCAATGGGAGGAAGCGGGAAGCAGGTCTCCCCAGGCGGTCAGTGTGCACAGAGGAAGGAGAGCGCTCCCGGGCAGAATTGGAGCTGGCTGCCACATGCCTCAGTCCTATCACTTCCTTTGGTTTCATGTCACTCAGCCCGGGGAGTGAGTGAGAGCTGAACCATTCCTCAGAGGATACTGGGAACTATGCAGAGACCTTTAAATCAAGATTTAGGCCCTAGCTGGTTTGGCTCAGTGGATGGAGCACCGGCCTGCGGACTGAAGGGTCCCGGGTTTGATTCTGTCAAGGGAACATGCCGAGTGTGGGCTCCATCCCCACTGAGGGGTGTAGGAGGCAGCCGGTCAATGATTTTCTCTCATCCTTGGTGTTTCTATCTCTCTCCCTCTCCCTCCACCAGACATCCCGAGGGAGTGCGAAGGGCAAGCCTCTTCCTCACACTCTGGCCTGTCCCCCCCCAGGGGCCGCCCAGTCCTTCCTCTGACTGCTCCTCGCTTTGTAGGAGGGAAGCTCTGCCAAGTATGGGGAAGCAGAGAGCCCAGGGTGCCGGCCCTGGACCCAGAGCTCTGGCACTCCCTGTGCACACTGCCCCCTCCCCACCCGCTCCCTCTCACAGACCAGGACAGGGTGAGCAGGCAGGGCATCCCCTCCCTCCATCCCTCCGTGCTCTGGGACCAGAGCAAAGGTGAGTCATCTCCATCTTCAGGGACGGGTGTCCCTCTCCCACTAACGCTGTGACGGTCCTAAGTGTGGCCACGCCCCGCGGAACCCCGGAGCTCTGGCCGAGGGTCGTACTCACTGGAGCGATCATAAGTGTCATCAAACACGACCCTGCAGGTCTTGCCATTGTTCAGGATGCTCTTGCAGGAGCCAGGGTCGTAGGAGGCAGACCAGGGCTGCAGGGAGGAGTCGTACTTAATGTCCTTCGTGTGCAGCTCGATGGGTGACTGGTTGTCTCCCTTGGCGATGGGGTAAATCTCGTGCCAGTGGTCAGGACCTGGGCAGGCAGGGGGGGTTTGTTAACGGGGGCATGACACAGACCCTCAGAGGGGCTTGGGTGGCAGCCTGGGACCCACCCGCAGCCCAGGGGGCTCCTCCTGCACCTGGGGACTGAGCAGCTGCCCTGGGCTCCAGGGACCAGCCTCAAGCTGCGTGGTGCAATGGACTCAGGGCCATCTCCTGCCGCCTTGGGCTGAAAGACTGGCTACAGGTGGTGGTCAGAGCCCGCCCTGTCCCCGCACGGCATGGGGCTGAGAGGTGAGTGCTTGCCTGGCCCCGACTTGGGGAACTCAGCTGGACCTGCGAGGCCCGGATCCTGGAAGTCGGCAGTCTTGGGAAGGGAGCCAGTCCTGCCCCCAGGGAGCGACAGCGCTCCGGGAAGCGCTGCCGGGATGAGGGCAGAGGCGGCTGGGCGCTGGGCAGTGTCCCCATCCGACCCTCCACCGTGGCTTTGGCTGCTGGAGCTGCCCAGGGCCTGCGGTCTGCACAGTGCAGAGCGCCCGGACCCGTCGAGGACTCACCATTGTGGCTGGCGTAGCCCCACTCCTTGGCCATGGCTGGTCTGGTTGTCTTCGCTGGTGGCTGCTGCCCGCTGTGTGCAGAGTCCGCCGTGTGCAGAGTCCCCGCGAGCTGAGCGCCTTTTATCCAGCTCCCCACACCCTGCATGGCCTTATTAGGTCAGCAAGGAGGGGGCGGGGGGCTAGGCTGGCTGGGGGGGCATTCAGGAGGCGGGGTGGGGGGAGCCAATGAATGCCAAGGGCTGACAGCTGTGGGTGGGGTGGGCGGAGGTCCCCGTGCCACCCCCTCTCCCGTCCCATCCGCTGGAGCTGCGAGGCGGCCCCACCCGCGGTCCTGGGCACAGATGCAGCGCGCCTTTCGCCTGGTGCCCCATCCCCCGGCTCCGTGCATTATTTGGGGGTAAACAGGGTGTTGCAGGCGTGCCCAGCCGCCACCCAAGACACCCCCCTCCGCGCTGGCGGCTGTGGGCTGCGGACCCCGTGACTGCCTGGAGGAAGCGCCTGTTGGCGGGGCGCGCTCCCTCGCGGGGACTTGAAAAGTTCTGGGAGCGCGGGCGGGAGGAAGGGCGGGAGGCAGGTCCCTCCATTATCCCGGAGCCGGAGGGAGCCCTGTCCTGGAGCCCAGCGGGATCTGCAGACTGGGGTCCCCTGGCCCTGGAGCGAGCTGGGCTGGGCCCTGGGGACCACAGAGCAGCCGCGCCTGCGCCCCCGCCCCGCGCTGCCCCCCGCCCCGGGCTGCCCCTCGCCCCGCGCTGCCCCCCGCCCCGCGCTGCCCCCCGCCAGGGGACCGGGAGCTCTGCAGGCTGCAGCATGCACACAGTGCGCCCGCTGCTCAAACCACGACCCCGCCTCCAGGACAAGCCTGGAAATTAGGAGAAAAGGCAGAGGGTTTCCAGCATCGCGCTGCGCTTCTCCCTTTCCAAGTGGTTTTTAAGGTGACGACCCAGGGATCCAGGGGAAAGGAGAGGGCGCGGGCCACGCAGGGCCACGTGCCAGGGGGACAAACGCCTCTTGTGCCGCACAGGGAAGGAGGCAGTGTGGCCCATACTTGTATTCTCAATGTCTCCTCAGTTCCAGGCAGTGGTGGCTCGCCCCTTTCAGCGCCTGCCCAGGGCTGAGGCCCAGTCCTCCCTCCCCAGCTCCCACCAGACCGCCGCCCGCCTGCCAGTGGGATTAGGAGCTGGAGAGGAACTCGCATGGGCTAGCTCATCCCCCAGGCATGTGGAAAGACTGAGCCGCTCATAACCTGGACACCAGGGGAGTCACTCCGGGTATTTTTGTGCCGGGATTACTGGGTCCACACAATAGCCCTGTGCAATTGAGAACCAGATGGTTCGGAAAATTCAAGCAAACGCAGCAAAGCTAGTGCCCTCAGACCCAGCTCAATGCCAGGCGGTGAGAAAGTCCGTGGCAGTGGGCTGCCTGGGCCGTGTCCTGCTTTTGCTGGGAGAGCGTGTTGTCTGTGGTGATGAAGGTTTTTTGTTTTGTTGAGGGCATCATTATTTCTATTAGTAAACTATAACCTTGTTCAATTCATTAAATTGTTACAATCACTCTGGTACTTGTGGCTAGAAGTTTGGTAACTGAATTTCATGCTATTTGACATAGTTGTAATACAGATAAAGTCTTTAATATGATAAAGTCTTTTTACCAGGCAAAGCCAACAATTTAGGAATTCTTCATCTTGTTACTGTTTAGGCATAGAAGGAGTTTTAAAAATGGATTTTCATTAATTGAAGTTAAAATAATGCACAATGAATAAATAATAAAAAGACTTACACAATAGCACATGATTTCAAATAAACACTAGGTAAATTTTGCAAAGTGAAATATTTAATAGTTTTTGGTGTGCCATCTTGAAAAATGGTGATTGCTCTTCTCATTGTACTTTCTTATAAGAAAGTTAATAAAATTTGAAACTTCAAGATAATTTAGATCAAAACATGTCAGTTCTGGCCATTGCACACTTTTCAGAAACCACAAATTAATCATCCACAATTAATCAAATTAATTGATTTATTCCAGAACGTTCGTCTACAGAAATTTCAAAATTCCCTGTTGACAGAGCAAAGAGATCATTCTAAACTGTATCCAAGATTTTGAGATTTCTGGAATGGCTTAAAAAAGAAAACTGCTAGGTACACACTGAGACACATAGTGCCAATGAAGGAATGAGGAATGGTTAACTACAAACATCTCCCAGCATCCTGACTGCTCCTCCCAGCACTGCTGCCCGGAAGCTGGCACTGTGGGCAATTTGTAAGATCCCCCTCCCCAATGAATGTGTTCACACAGAGGAGGGAGGGAAAGAGGGAGGGAGGGAGAGAGTGAGGGAAGGAGAGGGGGTTGGAATATGAAAAGAACAACCGGAGGGTAATGCTGGTAAACAGAAGTTTGTGGGGAGTCTCTGATTGTGGAAGTTTCAACTAGACTATATGTTAAATTTATAAATTTATAAACTAATGTGATAACATTTAAATATAATTTTACTCTTGATTTGGTATTTTATTTTGCAAAATATCAGGCAATAAACTTCAGTCAAATCTCCTGCAGGTTTATAACATATAGTGCTTCTAGAGCATCAGGAAAAAAAGGGGAGAACCTGACTCTGCATTCACCTTGCTATCCAAACATAACTTAGTATTTGAAGTAATTGCATAAGAGTGCTCAAATATTTTATATGCTACAGGGGCCTAAATATTTTTTTAACACATTTTTATTTTTAGATAATGAGTTCTGTGACCTACATATAAAAATAAAGCTCAATCACTAATCATAAAGTAAAAATATTTAAAATGAAAATCAAAGAAATATAATAAAAATTAAATATATTTAATAAAAATCAAATCTTTTAAATCTAAAACACCTAATCTAATAAATAAAAAAAACAAAATTTTAAATTAATATATTTAACTGTCATATATAACACTAGAGGCCCAGTGCACAAATTTCGTGCACGGGGAGGTGTGTGTCCCTCAGCCCAGTCTGCATCCTCTATAATCTGGAATCCCTCTCACAATCCAGGACTGCAGGCTCCCAACCACTCTCCTGCCTGCCTGCCTGCCTAATTGCCCCTAACCACTTCTGCTTGCCAGCCTGATCACCCACTAACAACTCCCTTGCCAGCCTGATCAAAGCCTAACTGCTCCCCTGCTGGCCCGATTGCCCCCAACAGCCCTCCCTGGCCAGCCCAGTCACCCCTAAGTGCCATCCCCTAATGGCCTGATTGCCTACAACTGCCCTCCCCTGCAGGCACGGTTGCCCCCAACTGCCCTTCCCTACTCCCCTGGTTCCCAACTGTCCTCTCCTACAGGGCTGGTCACCCCTAACTGCCCTACCCTGCAGACCTGGTGTCCCCCCCCACCAATTGCCCTTCCCTGATGGCACGGTCACCCCTAACTTCCCTCCCCTGCTGGCTCAGTTACCCCTAACTGCTCTCCCCTGAAGGCCTGGTCCCCCCAACTGTCCTCCCCTGCTGGCCTGGGTCCTCCCCATAACTGCCCTCACCTGAGGCCTGATCACCCTCAATTTCCCTCCCTTGCAGACCTGGTCTTCCCCAACTATCCTCCTCTGCCAGCCCAGTCATCCCTAACTGCCTTTTCCTGCTGGCCTGATCTCTCACAACTGCCCACCCCTGCAGACATGGTCCCTCCAAACTGCCCTCCTCTGCTGGGCCATCTTGTGGCGGCCATCTGTGTCTACATGGGGGCAGCCATCTTGTGTCTACTTAGGGACAGCAATCTTGTGTGTTGGAGTGACAGTCAATTTGCATATTTTTCTTTTATTAGATATGATAACTTTTACCTTCCTCCCTGAAAGCATCAGTTTTTATTTTTAAATTTTTTGCTTTTTGTTTCTCCCCAAGAACATTTTCTGGAAGCTTGGCTCCCCACCTTCTATGTGAACGTGGCAGGCCCAGCTTGAGTGCAACCTCAGTGGCAGCTGAGCCACTTGATGGACCTTCAGTTTTGGCTCTGTTCAGGGCAAGTTCACTGTGAGTGTCCCTGGTTCACTGCACTCCTGGCACAGGCTTTTCCTGAGGCTGGGAGCAGGCAGTGACGGGGAACCCCAAGCTCTGTACTGAGATCTGATCCTCAGGGTTCACAAACTCAAACTCTTCTCTTTTCTTCTTTTAGAATGTAGTAATTGCACACTACATGGAGGACAGCTTATGCACTAAACATTAGGATACTTTTGTTTAGGACCAAAGTTAGATGACAGAATCTCATTTCTAATAATGTAGAATCGGTTTTGTTTGTAAGATGAACCAGTGGAATTGTGTTTAGTTTCCACATTTCATAGCTGGTAGATGGCCATTTGCCTCAATTTCTCTGGGGCCTCAGAAGTGTCCTCTGAGCAATGGTGTGCAGCACCTGTCTCCCAGGGGTTGGTGCACTTACCGGGAGAAGGCGGGGCACCTTGGGCACCCTTAATGCCTCCTCTGGCCTTGGCCCTTTTTCCTAGAATATGAACTGTGATAAGAACTAAAAAGGATATGATTCCAACAAAGCATAGCACTTCTCTGTATATTATTTGATAAACAAGCTATTAACAGTGAGATTCAAACTTCTTTAGACATCATTCAGGGTCTTCAGACGTCCGCCCTCCATGCTTTCCAGCGGCCTCAGCCTCCCACTCTGAACCTGGCCTTAGCTCTATCCTCCTTTCCATTCTGCCTGGGAAGGCCAGCTGTTCACACCACAGATGTGGAGGCGGTGTGCCTGTAAGATCTCACAGCAGGTGTTCCTGCACCTTTAAGATCAGTGCTCTGGGAAGGCTGCCTCCTCCTCCCCAAAGACAGTCTAATCCAAGGCAGAGCCATGTTGGAGTTGCAGTGACTTTTTTTCTGTGTGATTTTAACTTTTTTTTTTTTTTTTTTGGTGGGGACACTGTTTCCGATGTGATATGAATTATTTTGCTTCACTGGGAAAAACCAGGCGCCAACCTCACTTCCATAGAAGCTGAAAAAACCCCAAGGCCTTGCAACCTGTGGAGGCTGCTGCCTGGGCTGCTCAGAGCAATCGAAACTGCTGGACCCTCCACTGGTCATTAGCACCAGGCGAAGTGACACCTGTGCAAGCACTTGTTCATTGGTCATTATTCTCACTTTACACATTTAATGGAATAAACATTTAAGAGCTGGGAGTTTTTAAGACATCATTTTAAAAA